TTCTGAAGAAGGGTCTAGGCCCTTCCTGCTCCTCTGATGCTGCTTGGCCTGCTGTGTTCATCCAGCTCTACACCTTGTTATCTCAGATTCTCCAGCATCTGCAGTTCCTACTATCTCTAATGTTTTAATAGCATTTGATTCCATGTCTTCCCTTCTCATTGGAAAATAAGGTGATGTTTAGCAGCATTTAATTCCATCTCTTCCCTCTCCGGTTGTAAATAAGGTGATGTTTAATCACATTTAATTCCATCTCTTTTCCCCCTTCATTTGAAATATGTTCTCCCTCTCAGCCACACCATCAGTCTGATTACCTGAAAGGTCGCAATCCCTCAATACTGCAGTGTAATGTGCCATAGAGTCATACAACATAGAAACAGTCCCTACCGTCCAACCAGTCCATGCTGAACATACTCCCAAACTAAACTAGTCCCACCTGCCTGCTTCTGGCCCATATCCCTCCAATCCTTTCCTATTTATGTACTTATACAAATGTCTTTTAAATGTTGTAACTGTAATTGCACCCACCATTTCCTCAAGAAGTTCATTCCACACTTGAACCTCTGTGTTAAAAAAAATTTGCCCCCATGTCTTTTCTTTTAAATCTCCTTCCTCTCACCTTATAAATGTGTCCCCTAGTCTTGAAATCCCTTATTCTAGGGAAAAAACAACTACCATTAATTCTATCTGTAGCTCTCATTGTTTTATAAACTTCTATAAGCTTTTGGAGTCAGTCTTGCCCTCTGACTGACAGACTCTAAGTGACGATGTTACCCAGTGAGCCAGATCTGGCACTAATACTTTGAACTTCTGGTTATTGAAAGTGAATTATTTATCCTGCTCTCTCAATCTTGAACATTATTTTTTACAGGTTCAAGTTGTTGAGAGAGACATGAGTGGGTTTTTCTTCCCTCAAATATTTCCAAAGGATATTTGTGTGCCATTTGTGTTTTGGTTTTGTGCCTTAATGGCATGTGTTGTACGTGTGTGGAGATTGTTTATCAAACCAGGAGTATTGATAATGTTCTCTTTTATTAAAAAAAGAAGGAATATGAAGAAATTAGTTTATTATTTGAAGGTTTTTTTTAAATAAGCAAATTTTTTGAAGAGTAAACAACCCTGCACTGTGACATAAAGGAACATCCTTGTGTTGAAAAGGTGTTCTGTGAGGAAAAATGGATTAAGCTGGACTTCATCTTTCATAAGAAAACCTCTAGGATACAATGCTAAGTAGGATGAAAGAACAGTACCTGATAAAGATATTTCCCCAAGTTATTCCTGGAGTAGTGAGCAGTCTTGATGCAAGTCTTTTCTGAAATCTGGTCATCTTTTTAGCTAAAAGACGTTGGTCTTAAATTTACTCATCACGTCTTTAAACTTGAATCTCTTTCTGCTAACCTTGCATGACTGAAAGTAGTTTTTCAGATGTACACAAGAAATGGAAGCAGGAAAAGATCATTTGGCCCCTCAGGCCTGCTCTATAGTTCATTACTACTGATCTTGGGCTTCAACTCCATGTTCCTTTCCACTTGATTCCCTGAGACACCAAACATCTGTCTATTGCAGTCTTAAATAAATGAATGATGGAGCATCCGCAATCCTCTGTGCTAGAGATTTCCAAAGATTGAAGTGAAGAAATTTCTCATCACCTCATTCCAAATTGATCAGCCCCTTCTCATGTATTTGAGATTCCCTATCCAGCAGAAACAATCTCTCTGCTGCCATGCTATCAAACTCTTTCAGGGTCTTGTTCGTTTCAACTAAATTGCCTCTTATTCTTCTAAACTCCAGAAAATATAGGTGCAATTTATTGAGCCCTTTCTTGTAGGACAGTCACCTCAACCCAGTGACTGATCTAGTGAACCTTCACTGTACCTCCAGTGCAGGTGTGTCCTTCCTTAAATATGGAGACCAAAACTGGATACAGTATTCCAGATATCATTTCATCAAAGCGTGCAGTTGTAATTTCTTCATCCCACTTAATGCCAAAGTATTCTTCTAGGATAGAAGAATTAGGATAAGATTTTCCAATCCTTCCTTTTTGGCATTTTCCTCTAACATTTGGAATACCCTCTGTGCATTTCTTTGCCTTTAGTACTCACATTTCCTTCAAGCTATTTAGAAATGGTTGCCATAAAGACAATAAAATAAAATTCTGGGGCAAAAATAGCTTTTTCTCACTTCCAGTTCTGTGCTTTACCGTGGTGCCTCCACCCTCACCTCCAGGAACAAATTTGCTATTAACTTGCTGACCATGTGTATTCAAATGTTTTTGCATACTTTTAGCATTCTCTTGCCCAACAACAAGGTGTCAGCAAGACTGCAGTTTAGAATTTGAGGTTTTTTTTTAGGAAACTGATAGATGGGAGACCAATAAGATTAGCTTTGAAATATTTTCATCAAACTGTTCAGACACACAGCTGCGACAGGTGGAATTTCAACCCCTACCAAAGGTAGAGACGTTACCACTGTGTCGCAAGAGCTCCTCTTGGGTGCTTTGGACTTTTTATTGAATTCAAATTTCACTATTCACCACAGTGGGTTTCAAACCCAAGTCCCTACAACAATGACCATTCTGGATTGCAGGTCCAGTAACATTTCAACTATGCCGTGACCACCTGGAGCTCTTTAGAGGTGTTTTCTGATCAGCCTGTTCAGAGATGTTATACGCCTCTGGAGCAGGTGGGACTTGAATCCAGACCGCCTAGTCCAGAGGCAGTGACACTACCACTGCACCGCAAGAGCTTTGAAGGCTTTTTGTTTTGACTCAACCTGTTCAGCGATGCCATTACATGCCTCTGAAGCAGGTGGGATTTGAATCCTGGCATCTTGACTCAGGTAGGGGCAGTCATCTGGTAACATGAAACTCCTCGGAACATTTTCTGCATTCAGGGTGCTTTACAAGTTGTTGTTAAAAATTATTGGGTGCCAGAACAAGGAGACCAGAGAGGTTGATACCCTGAAAAAATGAATTAAAAGGACCAAACTTAAAATTGCTTTTCTGAATCTATTGTGTAATTTACTGGCAAATAATTCTTTCCCCTCTTTTCTTGAATTGTTTTTCTACTCTTTTCTTCACTATTTGCAAAAACAAAAGTTTTATTCAAGTTTTTAAAGCAATACAATGTACTCATTATTTGTTATGTGTTGCCTTCCCTGTTGGGTACATTGCATTCAGTATTCTTCGACAGCTACAATTCTGCCATTACCATATTTTCAAACTGCTCTTTTTCTTCTCTGTCTCTTTATAATTTTATTTCATCTGGAGAGAACAGAAGAGAAGTTGCTAACTCGTACAAGAGGAAAGAGGAGATAACCTCTTTTAATTTTGGAAATTATCTAATTTTAGAATTGACAACTGATAGTCAGAAAGCCAGTCTTTTATACAGTTAAATTGTAACTTTCATGTCCATACTGCAGTGTGTGCAGCAATTGGGACTTGACCCATTTCTGAAATGCACTTAAATTCAGTCATGTCAGAGGGCAACACACAATGCTCAGTGTTGAAGCTAGGTTTTTTAATTTGGTTATTATTATCATATGTACCTAGGTACAGTGAAAAGGTCTGTTTTGCGTGCAGTACAGGCAGATCATAACCATACAAAGTGCATCAGGCTAATAAAACAGAGCAAAGAATACAATGTCACCGCTGCAGAGAAGGCACACAAACAGCGAGATCAACATTTAAATTTAAAAATTGAGAGGTCCATTCAGAATTCTGGTAACAGCGGGGAAGGAGCTGTCCTTGAATCTGTTAGTACATGTATTTAAGCTTTTGTATCTTCTGCCCACTTGGGTTGGATCTCCTTCTCACTTCAGAAATCTCCCAAGTTTGAATTGTTAATGGTGAAACAACTGAGGAGTGGGAAGACGTGTCCATGAAGTTCCCTGCTGGTGTTCTGAGTCGGTTTGTAACCCTCAGTAATATCATGGATCCTCTGGTCATTCTTTGCTACTGTCTCCAATTTGGAATGCAACATGATTGCTGTTTCTGATATGGCCTTTAGGTCTTTACTTGTTACTGCTCTCGCCCAATCTCTTCCAATTGCAATGTGAAAAATCAAGAAGGAAGAGTGTAGTCAAATTAGTATATATTCAACAGACAACTCTCGTTTCTAGATAAGGGCCTCTGCTACTGAAATGCAAATATTGTATTTGCAAAAGAAATCACATTTGAAATTAGTTCTACTTCAGTGCCTTAAACTGTAGGAGGTACTGTATGTAAATTAAAAGTAAATAGGCTGCTTACTCAAACACTGCTATTCCTGCCTAACATCAAAATGATTGGATAAGTCACCTGTCCC